CTGCTGCAGACGTTGCCGTGTAACTTCCGTGTAAAACATGAGAAATGCGACACTGCTTGAAATTGTTCAGCAGAGTTGTATATGTGATTTTTGTCGCACCGTTTCCAAAGGAACGGACGTTGACAGCAAAGGACAGCTGAGAGCAGCGCTTTGCTGCGGCCCTTGCATGGAGTGCAGGACCGTTAGGAGATTGACCGCTCCAATTCCGCTGGAATGAGGTCAAAAGCCGAAGCGATTTAATGCTGAACAGGACATCAGCTGTCAGGCCGATCTGGAACCGTTGAACCCTTTAGACAGACCGACCCTTTAGATCCATCGCCCTTGACCGGCGATTCCGTTGACCGCGAATGCGACGCCCACGGCCCGTGCTGAGAATCCTTGGATGAGTTGGTGGAGATCGCCAAGCGCGCCGTGACCTGGGTCCTCACTCCGGTGCCTCGGCGACCGCCACCGTCGTCACGCGGCGTCACGCGACTGACCGGTGAGGGGAAAAGCACACGAGGTGACGTGGGGCTGCGAGTTGCCGGCACTCGCCTTTGTTGCTTCGAAAAGTAAAGAAACAACATCATAGAATATCAATAGAATATCAATAAAATCATAACATAAACATTAATGTTCTGTCAGTCTGTTCCGTCGTTTCTTCGTTGAATGCCCTCCGTTTCCTTTGACTCGTCCTCTGTCGGTCAGGAAGCGGTGTGCATCACAGCAGCCACCCTGCAGCCCAAGGAGATGCAGATGAAATTTGGCCGCTCGGAGGACGTAGATGAGGATGTGTGGATGACTGGTGATGGCTAGTCAGCTAGTCATAAATTGATCGTTGAGCTTTTAACCAATCTTTTCTACAGCAAACTCTGGTGAGTTTGCTGTCGCGCGAGCCAAGGCCCACGTCATGCAAGGTTACTCAAGTGTTCAACGTACATCTTGAAGATTCCATGCGTAAGCCATGCCCAAGCCATGCCCAAGTACATGTTGTTGCTGCTCACAAAGATGTCACAAAGCGTCATCCGCATCAGCTGGGAAGCTGTTGTTTGTTGCGTTGGTCGCCTGCAGTGGCGGCTTAAGCCGCCCTCCGCTTCTTGGATGTGGGAGCATTTGAAGTACGTCTTGCTGGGGAAAAGTGTTGGGTTTTCGTTGATTTGGTCAAAACTCGTTGGTGTCTTCATTGGAACTGGTGAATCCCTGTTTATTTGGGAGCTTGTGACGTGTTGGAGAGGTGATGCTGGAACTATATGGGTTGCATCAGGAACTATATGAGTAATCTTCAGGAACTATATTATATTATTCATGAACTAGTGTGTATGTCTCCATTGGAAACCAAGTGATTGCCATAGAAATTGGTGGTGAGTTACTTGTCACTGTCATCCGCTTGGATGAGGTCCTCAAGAGCAGAAGAGATGCCATGGCCGTTTGAAAGTGTAAGTCCTCCAGCTCTTCCAGGGCAATGCGCCAACTCACATTCTAGGCTAGGCTAGGCTAGTTAATAGACTCAGCATTGCATTGGCATTAGCATTTTGTATTGACAACTCGTGAGTCTCACTTGCTCACTCACCATCCAAGCAACCAGCCATGGCAATGGCCGACTGCAGTGGTGCATTTCACGTGTTGGCCGCTCATAGCAGCAACGAAGAGCCACCCGCATCCCAGCTGCAAAAACTCTACCCATCTGGTTACCCAGCCCCAAAGACCCACCCATCACGAGATGCCAACATATTAGGGCGAGGGCAACCAGTGCTCCAGAATTGAAATATGTTACATTGTTACATTATGTTGTTGTCGGCTCATTTGTTGTGGCCAGTGGTCACTTCAGACCAGCACAGATTCCAGCAGGCCTTGTCCCGGTTCAGTTCGCTCACATAAAAACCTAAGGAGGACGAAGAGGATGGAGAATCCAATTGTGACAAGGAGGACGAGGACCGATGACTCAGAGACTCAGAGCCCAGAGCTGTTGTCACAAGTTGTCACTGTTGGCACCTGGCAAGTGGCAACACAGTAAACACTGGACACTGCAGTGCACACAGCACAGCACTCATTTCTCATTCCCACATTCCCACCCTCACTGATCCAGGACCGGTCATCTTCCTGGTCGATTCTGACCTCACCAATGTCAAAGCCAGAGGACGACGACCCGATTCCAGAGATGCCGGAGAAGGCTGTTGATGATGGCGAAGGTCAAGTTGGGATGGACATGGATTTGACCATGTTCAATTGTGCAGATTTGTATGTGAAAGCTAGCAAAATAGGCAAGTTCTGCTTTTCACCACCTCTTGGCCACGACAAGCAACTCAGCTTGCGAAAAAGAACTAAAAAACACCAAATGTTGGGAATCAATTGGTTACGAGTTGTCAATTGGTTACGGTCAAAAGGTCGGTAAGTGGCACAGTATGGCCGCGAAACTGTGGTCATTCTCATATGACCTATGACTCTATGACCCTTTGACTGACCTGACCTATCACCTATTATCATGTGTATGAGTATGTGTTGTATGATTACAATTTTTCACGTGTGCGGTGTGGGTATATATTTACAATATACCCAGGATCAGGGGAACCGTATACAACATGTGTTTTCATTCATCGTGTATTTCGTGGTCCATGCCTTCTGTCTCACGTAGGCTGTCAGGGCACGGCCTGACATTGATTGCATGTGGGGAAAGTCAAGGCGTAACGAAAACAAACGTCGCCCAACTATATCCCAAGCACTCCAAGGTATTTGCTAGCTTCAGCATGCACTGGCGCAGGGACTGCAAGCTATTGTTTGCACCTTGCATCCACGAGCGGAAGACTTGCATTGAGCGGTTGAGATTTGCGCAGTCAGTAGATACTTGAGATTCAAGATTCAAGATTCTTAAGATAGATGATTCAGGGATGAATTTGATGAAATCCAAGTTTTGCGAATTGCACCAAACAGTTTTGCACGTTGGAGAAACTCTGTGAAAGATATTATATTGCCATTGCTTTCTGAACTTGACCTTGACCGTACCTCACCTAGGCAGGACCTGTGCGCTGCCACGGGCACTGAGTTCGAAGAGATTGTTGCTTCGGAAAACCACCGGCCGACGCAATCAATGCTCCGATCACATTATACCTGTGCCCGGGCAACAAGCAGTGCAGTGCTGTAGCTGTGGCTGTAGAAGGAAGGAGTCAGAATTGAAGCCGCGGGCCATTTGTCACAGTTGCCGTTGCCATTTCTTTTTGTAAGCGTTCCAGTTCAAGTGTTGACATTTCACTGACTCCTGACTCAGTGACTCAAATGATGACTTATAACCGTATGAATTATCTATAAATTGTAGACTGTAGACTGTAGACCGTAGACCCATTTCCATTTCCATTTCCAACACCGGCTGATTCAACTAATCACAGTTCATCAATTTCATGTTCAAATCCACACGCACACACACCTTACACCAGTCCCTGTGTTGCGGAGTTTCTGTTTGATGTCATCCTTCTCATGAGGCGACCACATATTCAATGACTGTGCTGGTGGACACCAAGGGGGGCCACTGCATTCTTCATGATCACTACTGCATGCCCCGCTCCATGAATTCTGACTCAGAGGCACGGGCCGCACCGGGAAAACCTCGTAACCTGCTTGTCAAGAATTGACACTATGACACTATGAGCAAAACCCTCAGAAACTTCTTCGACAGAAAAACGTGGGAGGGAATTCTGGCGTGAAGTTTGCCGGCTTTTTGCAGGTGAGTCAGATGAGTTTCTTTGGGGGTATATAATCTGATCTGACCTGAGTCGAGCGCAATCCTTACACGACTAGATTAGATTATGATTTGATTACTGTATTGGTAGACTACGTAGATTATAGATTAGAAATTAGATCAAATGAGTGAATCATGAACACATGGCTTCGACTTGCAGCTGCTTCTGTTTTGGGGTTGTTTTCGGACTCCTTATCGTCTCCATGTCACCATGTTAACCTTTAATGCAAAGCGCCCGCGCCTCAGGATTTCTTGGTCGCTGGCACCCCTTGCCAGCCATTTTCGAGATTGAATGGCAAGAGAATGTCACCCACATATGATCCTTTCCGTGACGACCCTGGTTCTCGCCCTACAGTGGAATTTTGTCGTCACGTCAGGGATCGCAAGCCGAAGTCTTTTCTATTGGAACAGGTAGAGGACTCAGTTTGACAGTAGTTTGCTCACACAACCACCTCCATACAAAGGATACGCTTGGATGACTCAACGACTCATATAGGTCCTAGGCTAGGGCCCTACCTCTCTGGTTGTTTCATTTCGCTTACTGGACCGGACTGTAGACTGGTCACTATGACTAGGATGCTTGGCCAGTCTGGATATACTTTGAGTCATGGATCGTGAATCATGAGCAATCCATCAGTCCATCAGTGATCATTGCAGTCGCACTTTTTGAGATCCCAAAGATTGAGTTCAGTCATCTTGGCTTTGATCGCGCAAAGGTCGTGACTTTCGATCAGCCCTGGCCTGATCATTGCTCTGGGCACTTCTTCCAGAAATACAAGGCAAGGATTGGCGGGACACAATTTGATTTATATTTATACTGTATACTGTATACTAGTTTGTTTTCATTTGCACAGCAGCCTACTGAGAATTGGGAAGAGCTGTGGCAATGAAAGGCAATGAGCAACCATTCACATATTTTCCAGATACTAAGAGCCAAGATGTATATTGCATGTCTTGTCGCACGCCTGGACGCTACGATGCAATGCCTCCACCATGCCGCTGATTTAAAGCCCGGTTGGCCAACTACCAGCCGTTGTCAACGTTAAACAAACAGAGAAGTGACGTGATGACACATTTTAAGTACATTGCAAGTTTTGCCTCTCTGAAGCAGTCCAATGAGTGAATTGAACTACAGCCAGCCTTCTCAAAGAGAGGACCTCCGCGATTCGAACACTTCTCTCAACTTCTTCTAACTTCTAACTCTTATATTTTCTATTATGGACATAGTATTGCCGTTGCCTTTTGCGCAATGCCGTTGTCAGACCTATGGGACTCTCAGACCGCTGAGCCCACGCACGAAGATGGGCCTGAGACCTCCAGGCTTCGAAGGTTTGTCCGCACGTCCAAAGCCCGAGCAGCAAGTTTACTTTCCAGGCAGAGGCGGAAACTCCAAAGGATGGCGATGGCAAATTGTGATTCCACACTAGATCTGGATGTTGGCGCTCAGCGTGTTTTTCAACAGAAGTTCCTGGCGTCCTCTACCACACAGTGGGACCCCCTTGAAGACACAGGGAGTGCCAAGCTGATACACCACTTTGATGACTCCAATGGAAGACGGAGGGCCGTCTTTACATACCTGAAGGCTTTTGCAACTGGAGTGCGACAGCTGTTTTGTGGGGATTCAGAGGCAGGCTCAGCAACTCCAAGGTCGATATCACATGTCATCAGCGTTCATACAAATGATGATACAAACATGAAGCTTGGCAGTGGTGTCCGTGGGTCATCAGAAATCAGAAGCGTCATGAACAACATCCAGGAGCACATTGTATTCTCCGGCCCTCCAGGTTCCGAGCCAGTTTGGTTTCATGTTCACCAGCCGATTGTGGCTTTGGAGCGGGCCGACACTTCTGGCCTATACCAAGCCTTCATGGCATGGGTCCTAGGCTTTACCGGGTACACAGGGTGGCGACTGCGGCCGTGGGGCCTTCCGGCCAATTTGTTCAGGAACGTTTGCTCTCACACGCATGTCTACGTGGGGGATGCACTTAAGGTGAATAATTCCGTATTCAAGTACTTCACACAGTGCGTGCGCGACC